TTTTTTTATTTATTTATTTTTTTATTTTGAAGTTTAATGTTCCAGAGGAGCTGTGTCAAAAGTCCCTATGGAACTTCAAATCCAGGTGCACTAACAAGTCTTATCCTGTTGGTTTGTGGGCTAAGGTGATATGTGCATCTGGGAAACCATCAACTCTCCTAATTCTCTTCCACTTGTTCCTTGAAGGTGTCTAGAGAAAGGGTTGTTCTGGTGACTGGGGAGGTAGGAACTTTCTATATGTACTGGAGAGACCTCTGGAGGACTAAAACTTAAATCTTTGAGAGAGTCACCAGGATTTGGCTTGCTCCCAGTCCTTGCAAATTTTAACTTGCATTTTGCAAACCCCTTCATGTCTTCTACTACACAATATTAGCACATCCGCAGTTCTCCTCCTGTTAACATTCTTCCCCCATGCAAAGGGCTGGCCACCAACATACACTTGCAACTGGCTTTTTTGTTCTCTTAAGAGGGAGCTCTCTCCCAGGGGCCTGCTTCTCTCTTCATTTTTTCCCTTCCTCCCTCAGTTTGCTTTCTGCTTTAATTTACTGTGTGTCTGGATTTATTTTTTTGTAAGCAATTAATAAAACTTCTTAAGAAGATATTGTAACAGTTATGGCTCTGATGTGTTTTACTGGTGTTCTGACCTTTGCGACAAAATCATACATTTCCAGACTCTTGATCCTCCCTCTTTAAGGAATGTGTTTTGGGAGTAAAATTTCTCTAGGCTGTTTGAAATGAAGAAGGGGCTAGAGCTCACCAGGTGCTGGGCAGATTAAAAAGATTTTACTGTTTTGAACTGTTTGATAGGGATGTTCCATTCCGCTTGCACTTGGGACACTAGTGAGTAACTTGCGCTCAATGATTGTTTTATCAGGCCCACTACAATGGGTGGAAAAAAGTCTGTGAGCAATCTGGAGAATAACTTTTCCCAAAAAAAGCAGTTGCTGCAATGGAGCAGAATAATGAGCTTGCTCTGTCAATAAAGCTAATCAAAGTCACTTGTTTAATCACTTGTACTAGTTGAAGTGATTAAACTTCAAAGTCAAGTTTCTTTGGTTGAGGTCAGAAAGCTTTGTCCAGTGGTGTCATGCACCTTTTGGTGTATTTGAGACCAAGCAGTTTGTTTGCTACAAGTGTCTTGCTTCGTAAGGAGCTGATGCTCTTATAAAGGAGAGGATGAGATGAGTATATGTGCTAGCTGCTGCTATTTGGAATCATTTAATGACAGTACTGGCAAACCTATTGCAAAGGTCCAATGAGCCTCCTTGGCTGGTGCCTTCCTGGCTGTTTCTGAAACCAGTCCTTCATTTTTGCAAGCAGAAACCACGCATGTCTACACTCTTCAGTGGTGTTTAGAAAACTAAGGGCACCCTGTTCTTATGCGTCTAGTCTGTTGGAAATACCTCCTTACAAATTTTAAACAAGAAAAGACTTTTCTTCATTACTACCTCTGCATCTTGCTTGTGACAGAAGATGAATGACATCTCACAACCCCCATGCTAATTCCAAGATCTGCTGGAGAGGGCTTCTTTCCTTAGCACTATAAATGACCTGATGATCCGGAATAAACACATTTTTTCTCGACTGGGACAGGATGTGAGGTTCAGACCAGAGCAGCAATAACATTCTCCGAAGGGGCTCCTAGCCTGCATGAAGGATGTTTTTGGTCTTCTATGTAATCCTGGTGAACAAACATATCAATACCATATTGACAGGTTTAGTAGAGGTCAGTCAGTGAATGGACTTGAGAATTTAGCTTTTCTTTTGCCTCTGCACCAGAATTTGAGGCATGTTGGTTGATAGGAAGGGCAGAAACTTGGTTTGCTCATGCAGGAGTGTCAAATGTATGACCCCTGGGGCAGATCTGGTCTACAGAGCCTATCATAGAAAATTAGGGTTGGAAGGGACCTCAGCAGGTCATCTAGTTCAACCTTCTGCTTGAAGCGGGACCATTCCCAGCTAGATCATCCCAGCCAATATTTTGTCTGGCTAGATCTTAAAAACCTGGAAGGAAGGAGATTCCGCAACTTCTCTGGGTAGCCTGTTTCACTGCTTTACCCCACCTAGTGAGAGAGGTTTTTCATAATATCTAACCTAAACCTCCCTTGCTGCAACTTGAGACCATTGCTCCTTGTTCTGTCATCTGCCACCACTGAGAACAGTCTAGCTCCATCCTCTTTGGAACCACCTGTCAGATAATTGAAGGCTGTTATTAAATCCCCTCTCAGTCTTTTCTTCTCCAGATGGAAAAATAAGCCCAAGCCTTTTGGTCAGCTGAGCTACTGGTAGACCAGAGAATTTGGGGATGAGACCAGGGGTGGTGGGGGCCTGCTGTAGAATATGGGAGGGTGGAAGTTGCTGTATTTCTTTATCCTATGCCAGCTCATTTCAGCTTTCATGTCTCTCTGCATTTACTGCTTTAGGGCTAGATTATGATTTGGAGAGCTATTGCTCTGTGAATTGCCCAGTTCCTGGTTGAATAATGGTGACACAATGTGGCATTTTCTTGTCTGTTCCATAAAAATACCAACTGCTCCCTATCTAACTAGGTCAGCAGTCAGAAAAGCTTTTAAGGCTGCAAGCTGACCCAGTTAGGGGTGGGCGCTAGCACCTAGGTGTCGCTGCCTCTCTTTCACAGTGGCAGCATAAGGAAAGTGTCCACAGCTGCCTCTTCTCTGTGGAGGCAGAGGAAAGTAATTTCTGTCAAAGCCCCATGCCAATGAAGCCATGTGTCCTGCAGGCTGGATCAAATGGTTGCAGTGGCTGTAGGTTACTGACCCCTGAGCTCAAGGTACTTGTAGCCCTTTTCACTAGCATGTGAAAACCTCACAGATGTTGGCTTATCCTTGAGCTCTTCTCTTGAATATCATTCCCATTGTGCTGGTGAGGGATAGAGGCATGAAGACACTGATTTACTAGGAAGTAAGGAAGGAACTTCCCTCTAGCAACATAGGAAGTTGATAACAGAGAAATAAAGACCTTTTGAGGTCTTATTCAGTGTCTTGACTGCAAGCCTATTCATCTGGCCCCTACTAAGCTTCAGGAAGTCCAAGAAACTTTCCATCCTGGGGCCTGATGACATCTAGAAAGTCTTGAACCAAAGCTTGGATTTTCAGCCCCTTGAATTTGAGAGAGATCCTGAGATTAATTTCACACCTTTGGATTGCATAGCTGTTGACTTGTTCTTCAGCTGGACAAGCATAGGTGCTCTCGGAACACCCTGGAATGGTATGTTGGAGCAGAGGGAGTCTGAATCCCTTCCCACCTCACTCCAAAGTGGGGGAAAAAATCTATTTAAAGGGACAGATGCTTTTCAAATTAAAACAGAAATTGCTGCTAGGTGTTGCATTTCTACGAGTCTCCATCTTTCCCTTTTAGTCCTCATCTACTATATCTATTAAAGCATAAATTTGGGGGTGGGAGGGGAACAAGGATTTTTTCTAGTTGGTGCTGTGCCTACCACAAGTGTTCCATTCCTGTAGGTGCTACCATGACACACATAATAACTTATTCATTTTTTAAACTAAAAGATACTTTGCAAGTTAAGCAAATGTAAAAGAGTCTAGTGCTTCTATGATCCCTCCCTGTCCATGTGGAGATGGGATAAATTAAAAAGGAAAATCTTAACTTCAAATTTCTCAGAAGGTATAAACACTGTAATGGGCTGGGTGGAATGGTATTGAGCATGGCCTGACCACCCTTCCCCTACATGCCTGCTCCAAACTGGAAAGTACACTTTTAAGGCCATTCTGGGAGTCATTCCCAGTGGCCACTCTAGCATATCAGTGATTAAGAACTTGAGAAGGGATGCATCTGGGAAGCCCATGGAGGTAAGATGTGATTGGTAGCTTTTCAGCCAGGACACACTGCCCCTGCAGTGTAGATATGGCTTAAGACTCTGGTCTACAGTTCCTTAAAATCAATAGCCTCCTATTGACTTCCACTGGCTCTGGAACAGGCTCTTAGTGGATAGTGTGAAGCCGTTTCTTAGCTGATATTAATTGTGGGCGAGGAGATGGAATGAATCTCATCCTTACCTCTATTTTGTGTCCTTAGAAATAGAGACTAGTTAGTGTCTGAAAATCTAGGCCTGAATGCCAAGTTTTTTGTTTTTTGGAAAATAATCAGTGGAATATCTATAAATAATCAAATTGTGCTTGATAAAGGGGCTTGCCAGTCCTTGTAGCAAACATGCTGATATTTCACTTTTGTCCCCGGGAGATGATATATTTAGGAATGCTACACAAATGCTATTGAAACAAATGTCTGGTTGTTTGTTTGTGTTTTTCCTCCTAGCTGTCTTTTTTTTTTTTTAAAGTAAAAAAAAAGGTCCTGACGCTGATAAATGCATATATCATAAAGACGAACGGGATCATTATGACAATCTTGTCTGATCTCCTGTATAACAACTTCATTGTGTGATGTCTTGTATAACATGGCTAAACAGCTTCACCCATTGATCCCTGCATGGAGTTTGGTAATGATTGCCTGGATAACAGCAGCATGATTAATCTAGATCACATGTTTTAGAATGATGTGTAATCTGCATTTAAAGACCCCAAATAAGAGAGGGTTTGCAATCTAAACACATTTCATTTTCTTCTTCCCATTGCTCGTTAGATTAAATACAAACAAAATGTATCATTCTGCCAGTCTCTGACATGGATATGAGAGCAATTATGAATAACAATGTTTTACTTGAACTTTTTAAATTTAAATAACTTTTAGGTTGTTCCCTGTATTTAAAAAAATTGCATAACTGCCCTTCTTAATTCTTTGTTCAGTAGTACTACCGAAGTCTGTCTTCT